GTGGAGGCCAAAAGATGGGCCTGAACAGATCCTCCAGGCTACTAAAACAACATGTCTGTGACCACAACCTGATGGATGCAGGCAAAGGAGCCCAAGGACCTGGGGGAAACTTAACCCTGGTAAAACCCCTTGGGCAGATGAAGTTGAATATAGACTTCATCCTCCTGCCTGAAGGGTGGAAAGTAGCGAAAGCCAAATCTATGCCTGTCTGCTTCTTGGACCACTGCCTTCTGACAGTGAAGGTAGAGATGGGGTGGGGTGCTGGTCTGAGACAGAGACAAAGGTGTGTGGAAGCTGAATATGAGCCTCCTGGATGATGAAAAGATCCAGCGAGAGTTCAAACAGTGCTACACAGGGTGGAAAACCCTGAGCGTCAGGTACCAGAACCTCATAGAGTAGTGTAAAAAAGATAGCAAGAGACTTAATCCAATGGGACAGCAGGAGGTGACCCTGGATCTAAAGGAGACACCATGAATGCCATAACCTCAAGTTGCGGCGCCTGAACAATCAGGCAGGTTGGGATGTAAGGAAAGGTCAAGCAGGAGGTGAAGACCCAGATTGGAGCCTGGTAAAGGGAACAGGCCAGGAAGAAGATCCTCAGTAGAGGAGGAAGAGAAGTGGCCTGCTTACTTGGGACGCCATGACCGTGTTGGTAGATGGAGTGTGACTGAGTCACTGGTGATAAAAGGGATGCTGGAGATGGCAGTGGCCTTCTACCGGGCATGCCCAGAGGACCTGGGGGCCATGCAGAATTGCCTGCAAAAGTTTACTTTGGTCCTCAAGGGGGACAAGGGCCTGAAGCTGGTGGAGTGGACACTGCCTGACCACCAAGACTCTTCATTGCTTCAAGCACAGTAAGACTTCTGGGGCAGACAGTCTGCCTAACGAGTTGTATGTCACCTTATGGGATAAGGTGGGCCCGGACCCGCTGGAGGTATATAGGGAGCAACTGCAGGAGGGCCACCCAGGGTCAGGATGGGTCAGGGCCTCATAACCCTTCTGTACAAGAAGGGGGTGATGGAGGACTTGAAGCACTAGAGACCCATAATGCTCCTGAACTTTGACTATAAACTGATGGCCAAAGTCATGGCTGAGCACTTTAAGTCCATTGTGCAGTGATCCATGAGTGCCAGTCATACACAATGCCGGGCTCACAGATCCAGAGTCCTGCTGCAGTTGTGATATGCACTGCAATATCAATGGGGGAGAGGGTTGAATGTCGCCATACTGAACCTTGACCTAGAGAAGGCCTATGAACAAGTATCCCACCAGTTCCTCTTCAAGACACTGAAGAAGATGGGGGTCCGGCTGACCTTTGATACCTGATAAAGATGCTGTCGTAGACTGTGAGCAGCAGGGTTCTGGTGAACAGATTCCTGACCTCCCTGATCATGGGGGAGTTAGGCATTGGGCAGGGCTGCCCGCTCACCAATCCTGTTTATCTGCGCGATGGAATTGCTTGTCCAGTGGCTCAGGATAGACCCCAGAGTCTGTGGAGTGGAGGTTCCCATGGAAAGTGAAGCAAAGTCAAAAGTCCTGGCATACATGGACAACTCCAATGTCCTGCAGAGAGACAAGTGTTCAGTTGAAAAGGTGCTACAACACACCAAAATGTACAGGGCAGCTGCAGAGGCCAAGCTCAATGTGAGCAAAAGCACTTGCTTAGCACTAGGTGAACTCAGGGATCTGTCAACCCTAGGGGTCTCTGTCCCCCATGAGGAGGTTACGATCCTTTGGGAGGAGTTCAAACTGGAGCTGACTGAACAGAAAGTTTGGGAGAAGACCAAGGTCAAGGTGAAACAGAGACTGGGACTGTGGAACACACACTGCCTGACAATGCGGGGCACATAGTGCTCATGAGGGTGGTATTGCTACCAGTGCTTCTGTACACCACATTGATCATCTGCCCCCTCAGAGAAAGCCATCCATAGAGTCCAGAGGGCCATGCATGTTTTCTTCTGGGGCTCCAGCTGGGAGAAAGTAGCAAAGACCACACTGTACCAGAAGATGACTGGGGCTGAGGGTCTAAAACAGCCTGCTTTATGAGATACTGTGCAGGGATCTTGCTGTAATGCTGACACACACCTGTGGACCTGGGAACCACTGTGGTTCTACAGGGTCCTGAAGCACTTCTGGAAACAGATACGAACTACACAACGAAGCCCTGGTGACAATGACAAACCACGGCAAGATGCAGGAGGTGGTAAGGACAAGGGATAGACTGTCACCTGTGGATGCACTGCACTATGAGAGCTGTCAGGTTGTGTGGGAGAAAATCGTCCATACAGACCTCCAGAAGGAGCACAGAGATTTGAATTGGCACATAGCCCACTGGGCACTCCCTGTGTGGGCATAGAGAGAGAGGGACAAAGGAGCCGATTGAACTGTCCCAAGCAAACCTGCCAGTGGAAGGAGAAAACAACTGACCACTTCCTTTGGAGCTGCCAGTACGCAAGGAGGAGTGGGAGAGAGTAAGAGAACTCCTTTACATGGTGACAGGGGTCAAGGTTCTGACAAGAGGCAGTGCTGTTCAGCCACCTGACCACACAGCAAGGGACTGTAACAGCCTGCTTCAACCAGTTCATCTCCTGCTTCAGGAACACCCTGTGGAAGACCAGAAACCTGCTCATGTATAGATGCATGAACCTCCCAGTCAAGGATTGTGTCACGATGGAAGTGAGTTTTGCTACAGCTGTATTACAAAAAGGAAGAAGACATGGGGTAGGGGGTGAGGTGGAGGGTAAGGAGCCACTTGACCTCCCAGATTTATTTTCCCTGTTGAAGCGGG